TTGTTATTGCTGTTCAACACCTTCAAATCACTTCTACTGGGGACAACACTATCCTAATGGGAGGAGATAATGGGAGGAGATTTTTCATGGCTTTCTGCTAAGTCAAAGAATATGATTATCTCAGTGAATATTAATTTATTTATACCATTTATATAATGTCTTTCTCCAAGAATAGTACCTGAAACGGCTTCCAGAAAGAGTCAATTAAAAAATAATCAAGCAATCAAATTTTAAAACAATGACAAACAGAACCCAAAACAATAAAATCATGTAAATGTTTCAGGGATTGAGAGCCTGGTTTTCTAGAATCCAACTACAACTCTATGCTGGCTCTCCTGCATAGTGTTATCTCTGATTTATTTCCTAGGCAACCTGCCCACAGACACAGTAAATAATTTTATAAGACAACATTTTTCTTTTTCTTTTTGCTGCACAAGACTAAATTGCTAAAAACCCTGACATTAGTAGGTGAATATCTTCCTTTTAAAAAAGAGAGTAAACACTTAAAATCATCAATTTATCAAAACATACAACAAAAATAACTTGAAGTTTAAAATATACTATATGTCAGAAAAAATGAAACTGTCAGATTTGCTCAACCAGCCTTGGGGCCTTTGATATTCATCTAATAAAATTCTGGTCAGAAGTCTGGTCAGAATAAACCCAATATTGATACTATATTGGGTTTATTGCTTCCTTTTATGACAGCCTCTACATCTTTAATATCTATGTGGCAGGCAGAAACAGCATAGTCTTGTCCACTTTGGAAATATTGGTAGGTATTGTATTTGGCCAATGTAGAGTTTTGAAAATGTCACTTGTTTTCTTTTGATGAGTTTTTTATTTGTATTATTTTTCCTTTTCATAAATGAGATAGAAAGAAATTTAAAAGCTGAAGAAAATGAAACTTTTAGCTTTGTCCATGAGAACGGTTTCAGTATTGCAAGACTCTCAGATTCAAAATCTAGTTCAGTGTTTCTTAACCTGTGGTCGTGGACCAGCAGTATGCCATGAGGGTGAAAATCTGGTCCGCGAGCCTCCCTCCTTTTTATTTATTTATTTATTTTATTTTACTGCTCCTTTCGTGCCGCCTGTCACCCCTTCCCTGTTGCTGACAATGGCATATTTCTGCATCTGGATCTGGCCAAGGTGGTCCATGCCTTAGTCACCTCTAGACTGGATTACTGTAATACACTCTACGTGGGGCTGCCCTTGAAAATGGCTCGGAAATTCCAGATTGTCCAATGGGCGGCAGCCAGGTTGTTAACTGGGGCTCCTTACAGGGAGCGATCAACCCCCCTGTTCAAGGAGTTCCACTGACTGCCATTCATTTTCCGGACCTAATTCAAGGTGCAGGTTCTTACCTACAAAGCCCTGAACGGTTTGGGATCCGCCTACCTGTGTGACCACATTTCTGTGTATGAACCCACATGATCTCTTCGATCATCTGGAGAGGCCCTGCTCGTGATCCCACCTGCATCGCAGGCGCGATTGATGGGGACGAGAGAAAGGGCCTTTTCGGTGGTGGCCCCTCTACTTTGGAACTCACTTCCTAAGGACATCAGGCAACGCTGGCAATCTTTAGGAGGATCCTGAAGACATGGTTGTTCCAGTGTGCCTTCCCAGAATAATGATTCTATAGCACTTTGTCCTCCAAAGCACTTTACATTGTTTTAGATCTGCTTGTATGTTTTCCAAACGTCCCATCACTTTTTTGCCCATGTTCCAGGATTATTTTCAATTTTAATTTTACATTTGGCCTTCCCATAGTTTTTAATTATGTGTTGTCTTATTGTTGATGTTTCGTTATTCTATTGTCCATGTTTTATTTCAATTGCTTGTATTGTTTTTATTATTGCTTGTACTGTTGTATTTGGGCTCGGCCTCATGTAAGCCGCACCGAGTCCCTTGGGAGATGGTAGCGGGGTACAAATAAAGATGATGATGATGATGATGATGATGATGATGATGATGATTATTATTATTATTATTATCCGGAACTAGAGCTGTTGTGGTCTATCCAATGCAATTTTTTGAATAAGCACCCCAAACCAGATCTAAAGTTGATCAAAAACAGATTTGTAACCTTTTTGTAACTAATGTTGGAGAGTGATCCCTGGTCAAAGTGACCCCTGGTCAAAGTGGTCCCTGGTCAAAGTGGTCTCTGGTCAAAGTCGTCCCTGGTCAAAAAAAGGTTGGGGACCACTGATCAAGTCTGTATGTGTATGTGTCAAGAGAGTGGTCTTGTATATGTCAAGAAATAAGTTTTGTTTTTCTGTCCTTCATTTCTCAGCATGGTCATAAGACTATAACAGGGTTATAAAGCTGTACAGTTAATTTGGAACATTTTCATGCACCAGCGAGAAAGATTATATTTTCATGCATATTTTTTTCCTAATGTGTGAGTTTTAATCATGCTTTTCATTTATACACTTTAATGTGAGAGGTGAAATTGACTCATATTATGAAGACATGCAGTAAATGCTACATTTTCCCCATGAGATTGCAGACTTCATTTCCACAGTAAGCAATAGAAGTTCTCAGTGTAGGGAGGGGTAGACATCAAAACACAAGGGAGAATTCTGGTTATCAGTCACTGAAAGGAAGCATGTGGTTGTACTGTAACTTTAATGCAGCTACAGTGTTTAAAGCAGGACTATTAGCAGAAATAAATTAACCTAGCAAATACATGTATATTCATCCAACCAAGTTTATTGTTGAAGAAAAATGCACTTTAATGTCCTATTAGAATTTATTCCAGTTGCTTCTGAAGTATTATACTATTTGTTGACTAGTAGCAGCATTTTAGCTAAGAATCCTGATGAAGACAGTGGCAGATATCAAATGCAGATTATCTCCATTGCCATTGCAAACAGTGAAACTCTATGATGTGCAGGAAAGTGCTGATGAACTACAGAAACAACAATGTGAAGATTAAACAGAAATGAATGTTTGTTTTTGAAAGCTCAGCTGTTTTTTTTAATCACCTGAAGCTATTAAATATAGCAGCTTGCATCCTATTAATTAGTCACAATGTTGTAAGTTAGACTAATGACCTTGTATAACTGTTTCCCATTACCATTTACACTCCTGGTACCATAGTGCTTGTCAATGCCTTTAAACCCAGTTTACAATGTAACCAGTTGAACCACAGGATGTAATTCTATGACCATAGTAAATTAGGTGGTGAAGAATGCATTCAGCCTCTTTTTGTCAGTGAATAGCTGTGACAAGGCATGTTGCCAGGGGAGAGGGGGGGGGG